CCTGGATGACCCACGGAGATCCTGGTGTCCTTTGGGGACTAGGACACCCCATGAGGACCAGGGTGCCCCATGGGGACCAGGGTGCTCCGTGGTGATCTGGGCGCTCCGGGGGACCCCAAGTTCCCCATCCGCTGACACCCCCGGTGTCCCCAGCAGTCCCTCTTCCCCGAGGTGATGGTGTCCAGCTGCCTGGAGGCCAACAAGAGCATGGCGCACTCGGAGCTCATCCAGGTACGGGGCCGCTATGGGACACCGGGACAGGCCGCTATGGGACACCAGGACAGGCCGCGGGACACCCGTCCAAGCTGTCACCCCTCATTCCCCTCCAGAACTTCCTCAACTCCGGGAGCTGCCCCGAGGTCCAGGGCTTCCTGCATCTGCGCGAGCCCGGCCGCAAGGTCTGGAAGCGCTTCCACTTCTCCCTGCGCCGCTCAGGGCTCTACTACTCCACCAAGGGCACGTCCAAGGTGAACCCGGGGGGCGTCCCCACGTCCCGGTGTCCCCAGGTCCCGCCTGACGCCCCCTCCCCGTCCCCCAGGACCCCCGGCACCTGCAGTACTTCGCCGACCTCACCGAGTCCAACATCTACTACGTGACGCAGGGCAAGAAGCACTACGGGGCACCCACCGAGTTCGGCTTCTGCATCAAGGTGCGGGGCTGTTGTGGGGGTGGCAGGGAGCGCCCGGACGCCTGGGCCCCTTTCGCAGGAGCAGGGCCCGGCGCCTCCGGGGGTGGGACGGGGAGCGCGCGGTGACGGCGCCGTCCCCGCAGCCCTCCAAGGCGCGGAGCGGCACCAAGGGGCTGAAGCTGCTGTGCAGCGAGGACGAGCAGAGCCGCACGTGCTGGATGGCCGCGTTCCGCCTCTTCAAGGTGAGCCCGGCCCTGGCCCCGCACGCCGGGAATGGCCCTGTCCCCGGGGGACACTGCGCAGGTGCTGCCATCCCCGAGCTGGATGGAGGTCCTGGTCCCCAAGGGATGCTGGGCAGAAGGCCCTGTGCTGTCCCCATGGAATGCGGGTGGATCCCTCCATCCCGTCCCCAAGGGATGTTGGAGAGATGTTCCCCATCCCCATGGAGGGATGCAGGATGGGTGTCCCCATCGCATTCCCATGGAATGCAGGTGGATTCCTCCATCCCGTCCCCAAAGGATGCTGGAGAGATGTTCCCCATCCCCATGGAGGATGCAGGATGGGTGTCCCCATCCCATTCCCATGGAATGCAGGTGGATCCCTCCATCCCGTCCCCAAGGGATGCTGGAGAGACGTCCCATCCCCATGGAGGGATGCAGGACGGATGCCCCCATCCCCACACCCTCCCTGTGCCAGAGGAAGGTCCCCATCCCCACGGGACGCAGCACGGCTCCCTCCATCGCCGTCCCCCGGGGATGCCGGGGCCGTGTCCCGCTGCCCGTCCCGGTGCCGGTGCCGGCGCCGGGGCCGGGGGGACCCCACCCCGTCCCCCCAGGA